TTTTTCTGGCTGACTAATGAGTTTATGGTCACCGAATATGTTTTTCTGAGGTAAATGTGACATTGTTTACAAGCCGATATATTGACATCTTTGCGCGGCTGAAACACTGATCGAGCGATTACATGAGAGAGGAGACGGATTGTAAAGTTGTACTCTTTCTTTTAACCTACCTTCGGATGTTTAGTCATGTTTATTTTGTGCTATAACTAGTAGTAAAGCGGAGGAGATGATCAGTTCAGCGATCACTCCGCATTAAACAGCGCCAAAACGGCATTTATTGTTTGAATCCTGCAATACAATGGACAGAATTTGAAATCTGAGACTTTGTTTCATATTAAAAGTAACAAAGCACAATGCTTATTGCGATTTATTAGATGGGAAGTGCTCTTCAGTGTTCCGTCCATTAACTGAAAACAGGCTAGACTAATCCATTCTTGGATTTAAGAATTGATATCACTCCGTAACAATGAGAATCGATTAATATCGAGATGTCTATATTTTTGTCTATATATTTTACCCAGCCTGTGTTCGGTACAGTTTATTCGGTCTTTTCGCTTATTTGGCCGAACACACTATTTTTGGCGGAATAATTTCGGTTACTGAACATTCGGTGCATCCCTAGTGTTCGGTGAAGTGTGTGTGTCACGGACTCACCCTCGGGCCGGATCCAGAGCGATGGCTCTCGGCTGGTCCAGATCCTGCCAGAACAACACTTTCCGGTGCGTCCCGTCCAGCTCGGCCACTTCTATCCGATTGGTCTCGGAGTCGGTCCAGTAGAGCTTATTCCCCATCCAGTCACAGGCCAGGCCGTCCGGAGAGGCCAGACTGGACACGACTGTGTTCTGGAGCCCGCCGGGCCCTGACCCGTTAAACAGCGTCCGCTTGATGGCCTCCTCGCTCACGTCGCTCCAGTAAATCAGTCCCTGCTCGTAAACGTAATCCACCGCCGCTGCGTCCTCCAAACCGCCGATCACCACCGTGGCGTTCCCTCGACCGTGAGCCGCATCCACCAACCGCAAGTCCCTCCGGTTCGCATACAAGAGGAGCGGCAGGCCTGCGGGAGACAGAGACGAGACGCAGAGGTCAGAGGTCACGCCTAAACAAATGAGGCTTCATGATTCTGAACGATCACTGCACTAGCAACGCCAGAGTCATGCTGTGATTCTCAGACGACATGTCAGGCTTTCCGCAGGTTTCCCGAAGCTCAACTTAAGACTGAGTAAAGAACATTTAAGCACCGGATTGAAGGGAACACAACATGCTAGCATGTCCCGCCACGCGGATACGCCGTTTCCGTTCAGATCAAATCACAACAACGTAGGAAACTTGTTGAATAAAGTCATTATTTTTTTCTTTTGTGCACAAAAAGTATTCTCGTAGCTTCGTATAATTGCGGATGAACCCCTGATGTCACATGGACTATTTTACAGATCTCCTTGCTACGTTTCTGGACTTGGGAACATTTCAGTTGCCTTGCCGTCTATCCAGGGTCAGAGAGCTCTCAGATTCCATCCAAAATATCTTAATTTACGGGTTTGAAACGATATGAGGGTGAGTAATTAATGACATAATGAATTAATGAACTATCACTTCAAGTGTACTTTTCACGTGCGAACACCTACTGAACTATTGCACTAAAACTAAAAAGAACCAAATCTCTTCAGTAATGAAAGACTCCAGACACGAGCACGACTTCAACCAGTGACCACCGTCACCGACTGTACAGACTCATCACTGCTGCTAGCTGTGCATTTATGTCCATAAAAATTTAGCTTATGAAAAATCCAAACTAGTGTGTGTGTGTGTGTGTGAGAGAGTGAGAGAGAGAGAGTGTGTGTGTGTGTGTGTGTGTGAGAGAGAGCGTGTGTGTGTGAGAGAGAGAGAGAGAGCGTGTGTGTGTGAGAGAGAGAGAGAGAGCGTGTGTGTGAGAGAGAGAGAGAGAGAGAGAGAGAGAGAGAGAGAGAGA